AATAACTTGCAGCTAATTCTGTATGCAGGTTAACAGTTTTCAAATCAGCCTTTATATAAATTATGAGCAAAATGGTTTCACTAGTAGAATAAAGTAGGTGTGGGAATACCTTGGAAATAAGGTACTAATTAGAGTTTAATTAAACTAGTACACATTCAGGTCAGGGCAGTTTTTTTTTCCCTCATAGGATGCTACACCCAACACACCCAAGAGCCAAACTTGCCCAATTTTTCTATTTCTGCTAAACCAGGATAAGTTTATTCCCTTTACAGACAAAAACATGAGTCCTTGGCTGGCACAGGAGAGAAGAAAATTCCGAATTCGATAGGTGTAGGATGTTTTCTTTGACAGAAAAGCAGATTCCAGCTGGTATTTCAAAGTTACATAAATGCAGAATGCAAAGTAGCTAAGCTTGGAAGCTGGCAGTGTTGACGAGGAGAGATTGTATGCTTCTGTATGCTGTTGTCAGTGTTTGCTGGTTGAAACCACCACCAGAGTCAATGTTATGCTTTAGTAGAAGAGGAGAAAGTTAAAGCAAGGTCTGGTGTGAAAGTAGGGACCCCTGGGAAGGGCCTCCAAACAGGCAAAAACAACAAAGATCTCTGCTTTTACCTACAGGGAAACATTATTTTGCTCGGTAAATAGTGTATGTCCAGTGTGTGTGTGTGTGTGTAACAAATATATAGAAGGCAACTAAAAAATAAGACTGCTATTTTTCATAAATACCACAATGTGTTTAAAGTGGGCTGTACTAAAACACTTTACATTTTTATCCCATTATTTCTTCCAAAATGTTTTCATTCCTTTTATTTTTGATGAATGCAGAGATAACTGTTCATATCCTTCACAATAAGCATAACCCAAACCACTGACAGTAATGTAGGTTACATTACTACTTTAGCCACTAACCTTATAACCCTAAACAAATGTTGAGGAGATTAAAAAGCTAGTATTTGCAGCATTGCCTCTTATATATTTTAATGCTGATATTTCAAACTGAAACAACACACTGAGCTTGCCAGTGTTTCCAAATAGAAATAAATCAATTTAGGATCCCAGCACAAAAACTGTTCAGTAATAATGCTAACAGCCCTCCTTTCCAGAGCACTGCATTTGCTAAATCCAATGGCAATATTATTGTTCTGTTCTGATAAGAGAGGAGCCTTCATGTGCAGTGTTTTGTTCTTTGTAGCTGCTGCTACACTGGAGCTGGTTAATCTATGGCTCGATGTGCTTGCTCTTGTAAAACTACTGACATACTAAACATATTGGAATATGACAATTCTGATATGTTAAAAGCCTTCAAGGTTAAATACAAAAGCTGTAGAATATTCCAACATAGACATCTATAGTTTTTCGTTCCATGTTGGTTTTTGAGCTATGATATGCAGACTGCTCCAAAGTCTACACTTGCTGTTCTATCCATCTGTTTTGAAAGTACAGCCAGACCAACAACTTGTGTTGATTTGTTTTGGGCCAGCAAAAAAGCCAGTATTTAATGATTCTAGTAGAGTATTGGTTTGGACTTTATTATTGTTCACAGGTGGTCCTTTCTGAAGGAAATAATGTCTGAAAGTTCATTTGATGCAGTGGCTTTCTCCTTTGAACGTAAAGTTAGTGAGAATTTGGTTGGATGGGGGCATATTCGCCCAAATAATAACCTTATCCTGAAAATAAAGCTAGACATTCATACTATGAAAGCTTAGCAGTTAAAGTGGATCTACAATCCATGCATCCATTCATTCTCTGCCAATTCTCTAATTCAGTGTTGCAGGAGGGCTGGAGCCTATCTCAGCTGCCACTGGGTAAGAAGCAGGGGAAAGGCACTCTGAAGTCAGAGTACCCAGAGAGAACCTCCACTATACAGCCAGAAAATATTTTACAATATTTTTGTAAAAGCCAGATTGCTTATTTGTTGCCAGTTAGAGGACTCTTATAACTCTCTTCTGTTTTGGACTAATTACAGTAACAAACCAAACATGTTAAACTGTAACTTCAAATAGATTTTAGTATTTCAGTTCAAATAATCACCCGTTTTTGCCCAGCTTCTGCATTTACTGTCTGTAGAGATGCTCCTTTAACTCCCTCTATTCCACTTTTATGTCAAACAGGGAGGACGCGCCACCTCCTGACAGCCGCCCCGTCAGCCGTCACACAAGCCAGAGCGCCAGTCAGCTCCCACAGGTCACTTACTGCCCGGTTGATGGCACTGAGGTGATGTCGTTGAATGAGGGACTCAGCCACACTCCTTCCAGCACCAGCCATGGACACAGGCCGGTCAAACACACACCAGCAGAGTATAACAGCAAATATGGATATGCAGTGTGACACTCAGAGCGAGCTCAATTAAAGAGAAGTTTCAGGACAGTTTGAAAACTTGAAACTGAAAATATGCAGTAGTGGCAGTCCTGCCGAGACTTTAATTAACTAAATTCAAAGCTATGCACTGTGAGCAGTCTATGATAACATTGTTCAATGTGATTGCTTTAAGATAATCTTAGTAAAAGGAAGTTCTGTTATTTGATTGGCTTGGATATATTAGATTGTATCCTTCAACATTTAGGTGGATGTCTATAAAGCAGATCATCAAAATATGTAGCTATAAAAAAGCATTAATTCAAGAAATTCACTCTACTGTGGAATTTGGAGATTGACGTTTGGGTGTTTTGTGACACAATTTTGCAATAAAAAAATGAAAAGAATCCAGTCTCAAATTTAAATCAAAAGAAATATTTATTCATGATAGATCTCATTTGGAAATACTCAACCATCCAAAAAATGTACACGAGTAAGTACTTATTTTTTTCTGAGGATGAACTGACAGGAGTTGAAATATTAATAGCCACATGCAATGGGTTCTTGTCCACTACAAAAAACAAAACCAAAACAAAAGAAAAAAGTGACTACAGCTGATGTCCCCCAAACCCCTTATTCCAGACAAAAAGGAGGCTTCCTGTGTGTCCCCGTTACACAGTGGTAGGACTTTGTGTTTTCCAGGGCATTTGGCCTTTGGAACAATTCACATCTTAGACGGTTACATGTTTAGAATCTAAACATTTTGGCATCCTCTGCTCCATAAGCCTTTGTGAACCAGCCAGAGCTGATGTGCTCAGTGTTTGCACTTTACTTCCAAAGGTTTTTGTTAAGTTGGTTCAAGCTGTAATGACTGACTTGTGTTTTTGACCTATTTGCAGCAAGAAAGCAGTCTTCATTATAAACATCTACATACATTCAAATTTTAGCAAAGCCTTTTTTATTGGTTGTGTGCTGAATCAATACAATACCAAGCATGACCTCATTCACTGCTGCTGCTATTTTTAGATCACCCTGTGTGGGTCCTGTTCTATCCCCTTCCACTAACTCACACTAGGTCTCCCACATTGTGTCAAAATGGCAACCATTCAGCTTAAGAGTGCGCAGCCCCATGATGTCAGGAACGCATATGGCTGAACTGATGTGCTGCCTCTGGGCTTGAAAACTGCTAACTCCTAACTGCAATCTGCCCAGCGACGGAGACCTAACTCTTACCACCAGTGATGGCTGGGAAGTTGGGTTAGTTGGATACAGTCACATCCCTACTTTCTGCACAATTTGAGATCCATGGTAAAACTACAGAAGCAGACATTGTGAGAATAAAATTAATAAAAGCAGCAGCACTTTAAGTGGCCCACGGGTGCACAAGTACATGACCCTGAAGGAGTCCTTGATGTTTAGCGACAGAGTCAACTGCCTTTCAATGTCCGCATATATCAACATGGTAATTTTTTGGAAAATGAGAAGACTGAAGTGAAAGCCTTTCATTAAACTGTAGATCGTGTTCCATAACAACTGAACCCTTTAAAAGAAAGAATTGCCAAGGTCAAATATTTCAAAAAATATTAATACCTGTAAAATACTAGATTCAGAAAGCTGCCTGGTACATTTGTGCTGTCAATAGAAAAACTGATGCCAGCACACTGTGGTGTAAATAGCTATAAATCTATTAAGTGTGTATGGCAGGAAGAAATGAGTGGAAATAAATGGAAACACTAAGCACCGCAACCCTAGAAAATCACAAAGCGATTAAGTACATCTTCTGTGGTTTAACGTCTATAGCACACACAGTTTTTCTTCAGATTAAAACACTGATATTAGTCTGCACAACACGAAAATAATTTTCACACAGGAACATTTAAATTAAGGGGGATACAATCCCATCACCTGATCAACTCTTTAGAAAACAGTAAGGCAAGGTAGAAAAATCACAAATCAATTAAATCCTGTGCAGACACTGAAATACAGCTAAATTTGGCTTTAAATAATAATAATGATAATAAAAAAAATTCTTGGTCCAGTTTAAAAAAAAGAAAGAAAGAAAAGAAGCATGATTCTGTGCAAGAAAAATCACATGAAAGTTTTCCTTTCGTATCCATCTGACTGACGACTGACTTGTAGACTGTGTATGGCATTGTGTTGGCTATAAAAAAAAGAAAGAAAAGAAAAACACATCCAGTGAGTTCATCCAGTGGCCATTTAGGACATAAATGCCTCACCATCTTGTTTTCAGGGGCTCAAGCTCCTCTTTTAGTGAAGTATTTTTGAGCATGGCAATGTTCTTGAGTGGCTGAAGTTGAGGTTCAGTAAGCAACACCCATTCTTCAAAGGCACCATACTGTACATTGGTCTGTCTGTGTGTGCGTGCGTGTGCGTGTTTATGTGGGCCACATGTGAGCACATGCATACATGGAGAAGTAAAATCAGTCAACAAAGTCTATTCCCTCCACTGGTGTCAGCCCACAAGGCATCACCATGACAACTAAGGCAAAATCTTTCAACATAAAAAAACACAGCATCTTTTTTTTTTCTTATTTTAGGTTTTCGGATCAGATTCTTTGCTTAAAATCAACTCCCCACAATAATCATTAGTAATGATGATAATCTCTATTCAATAAATTATCTATACTGTACAATTATTTCACCTCGCGTAGACCTGCAAAAAAAGGGGAGCCTTTTTTTTTTTCTTTTCAAAGTAAAGCTATCAGCAGTCAGTTTCTGCTGTGTCCTCAGACCTCAGTAAAGTCTCTGCAGAGCACACAGAGGCTGACAGACAGCAAGCCATTTTTTCCTTTTTTCCCCTGTACAGAAATTAAACAGGACATCCAGCAAAGACAAAAGCTGATGCATAATTGAAGATAAACAGAGTAGAAACACTCGCTGAAAAATGAGTATCCAGCAAAACAACAAAAAAAGTTCTTTGTTGGTTTTTTTTTTTGTTTTTTTCCCCTTGTGTTATTTTCCTGGAGAGACTGAGTAATTTTCTCTGAGAACAGTAGATAGAAGATGGTTCCTGATTTAAAGGGAGCCAGACCAGCAACATCTGAGCCTTACTGCACTCCTTCTTCATCCACATAAGTTGAAGGAAACCATCCAATCTGTAACATGAAACAGTAATTATCAGACACACACAGTATTTTACATCAACCAGTATAAACAAAAGATGCTAATTGGGTTCATTTATATGCTTTTTTTGTTTTGTTTACATGCCGTGAATCCATTGGATGTGCACCACGACTACATTAGGCCGAGACCTCTCGGAGCTCTTTCCTCTATATTATTTTGGCACAAGATGTGCGCTATTTTCCGATAACTGCACAGCTCAGCAGCAGCCTTGCCTCTGTTCTGAAAAAATACTTGAAGGCTACTTCAAATGCTACTTCAGCTGTTGCTAGGCTACGACTTCTCCTACTTGTTAGAATTGTAAAGCATGTACTGAACTAACAGAGATAATAGAAACACAAAGGTTGTATTTACAGCAACACAAAGACATCCATTAATACCTGTTGAGGTCTGTATCTGGGTATGTTTTGTCAAAAGAAAATCTCATCCTGAGTCTCTTAATTTTCCTGAATTGGACTGGGTGTTAAAATGCTGAAATGAGGTAGTTGAAAGTAGCAGATGTCTTAATTTAAAAAGAGAAGCAATAATATTTTATGTGCTCAAGTTAAGTCGTGATTCAATTACTAGCATGTGCACTGTCCATAAACACAGATCAGCACCATGCATATTGGCCGAATTAATCGCTGTGATGCCTGTGGTGCTCCACATGAATGTTAGGGTTGGCGTGATATGTGAAGATTTCAAAATAGTCATTTTTAATTCAACAGCAGGGGAATGCAAATATATTTGCAGGGACCACCGCATTTCATGTGCACACCTGGAATAAAACAATTCATATTTTGCCGTATTCTAGTTTGAAACCAGACAGAACCAGCTAGCCAGGAAGCTACATTAAAACAAAAAAAGCTAATAGAAACCTTTCAGCTGTAAAATGAACAAGTACTAGTAAATGATCAAAGTACAGAACCCATAATATGTAATGGGTCTTTGTGGAGAAACCACCAACCAAATGATAATCTACTTGCTGGACACAGAGTCATGTCTACACAGAACTGGGAAGTCAAGCTTTTCTTGGGTTTAACACAGCAAAGGAAGGACAATGAATACTCATCAGTTGCACTAGGTTATTCACCTAGGTCAAATTTTATTCTTATAAATATCAAGAATGTAAAAACAGACGTAAAAAGCCATTAAACAGCAGCTCTGATGTCGTCACTAATAGCCACTACATTCAGCAAATCATCCAATTACGGTGGGTATTTCTTCATAATGTAGAAATAAATAGCATCTAATTTTGGTGAGCTTGATGTCTTTCTCATACACAGCAGCAATCAAGACATTTCAGCTCACTTCATGAAAACTTAGAGGCTTTGTCAGACTAGATTTGCAACCAGCTAAAGTAGTTGACCTGGTTTAGCAATTAGCATTAGCAAATACTTTTTTTTTGCTGAGTTCTACCAGGTGTAGATGTGCTTTTTTTTTTTTTTTAAGTCGGCACGTTTCAGCTTTCATCAACTGAATACAGATTACCTTTTTTACCACTTCTGTTCCATCAAGGTCATACATCACAGAGAGACCAATCCAAAGAAACTGCGTGTGCAGGCAGATGGTTTCATAGGAGAAAGTTAAAAGCGTATTTCCATCAATCCACACGAGGGAATAAAAGTAAGGTGGGGAAAACACAGATAAAAATCAAAACTAGACTCTATGGCATTTTTACACCAGGCTGTACAGCAGACTGTGGTAAGGTTTAGCTTTACAACCGCTCAAGTTGTGTAGATCCTCTGGCTCCACAGCACAACTCTAAATTTACAGCCTAATAGGGAACGTTCCTAAAATAAAATGCTGACATCACATTCCCTTTTACCGCCATCCTATTAAACTGGCACATTTCCCAGCAGCTAGTTTTTGTCTTTCAACCACATCTTTTTGCTTTGTTTTTCCTTTTTCCCCCGATATCACTGGTTAAATTGTCAAATGTATCAATGCACTTTTGGGGACATGCTTTCCCCGAATTTCTCTTTTGCAGATCTCTAACTTAATAAAGCTAACTGGATACATTTTTGATCAAACTCAAAATATTACAACATTAAGGTATTTATTCCAGTGGTGGCTTTTATGCCTTGGGTCTGATCAATTTCCCACCCACAAATAAACACTTTACTCATAGTTACTTACTCTTCCATTGGCTTCTCCTTTCCACCAGCCCTGGTCTCCACCGATCTTGCTGTAGATTTTGACAATGTCGCCTTCTCGCAGTGACAGCTCTCTCATGTCTCGCGCTGCAAAGTTATACCTGGCCACTGCTGTGCTGACCACTCGAGGTGTAAACACTGAAAATTGATAACAATAGGAGTTGAGCCATAGTTAATTAACTTAATGGCACACCGCTGAATTCGTAACAAGAGTTATTATTTACTGGTATTGATGAATATTCATGTTTATGTATGAGGGTGACGGTTGTAAGACGAGGTCACACTGAACATAATGGTAATAATTAGTTGTGAAGAATGTACAGAGGCGAGATGGTCCGGTCAGTTTTCAGCGTGACACGCTGTAGCCACAAAATGACAAATGAGCAGGACAACTTGTTTCATCACTGGAGAGGAAATTGGTTTTCTTTTCTTGATCTAATGAGGAAATGTCATCCTGAGAAGAACTACAGTGTTCTTGTTAATGAAAAGAGTGCCACAGAGAGGAAGTAATGAGGTCGAGGTACATAGGCTTATTATGTAATTACAAGAGATGCGGCGCGAGAACACAAGAGAGGCAGCGGGGGAAAGGAAAGGATAAGTAGATAGTACCTGACCAAAAGGGGGCTTGGCTCTGAGAGGAGGAGAAGTTGAGGCCCTGTGGACTGAGGAAGGAGAAGTTGTAGGATGCACAGGTGGCTGCTGAGAGGAGGAGAGAGAGAGAGCAAGACAAGGGAGGAAGTAAAGCTGGAAAATGTTTGAGGTGAACACATGCAGAGGCGAAGCCAAAGAAGCAGAAAGATAAAAAGATTTTGCATTGAAGCTTTGTGTGCCTGTGCGTTCGGTTCTCATTATATTTAATCTTAACCATGAAGGTGTTGCAATTTGACTGCTTTAAGAGTGTGAATTTATTTACAAAGTCTCAAACAGAAGCAGCGTGGGAACTCTGTTGTTTTTTAGAAAGAGTCTGTTCTGTTCCTATTAGTGACATTATTATTCAGTATTACACCAACCTGCAGAATAAATTTTGGTGTTATGTTTATTTAACTGTACAATTTACATTATATTATATTAAGAAAAGCATATAATGTCACTAATAGGCATTACGATGACAGCCCAACTGAAGGTTGGATTAACAAGACTTCATCATTTGTGACAACTGATCAAATGCTGCTTTCCATTTTTATGCAGACGGCACTGTTATCTATTATTTACAGTAGTGAAAGCCTTTAAATAGCTGCAGTCTGCGTTTCATGTTGTTCCCATTTAACTCAACTTAAATGGAGGAAAATCCAAGGTCATGCTATTTTCAAATTAAGAGAAAGAAAAAAACTGCTAAAAGGGCTGAAAGTGAAATTATCACAAGATATTAGTATTTAGTATTATGCATTGAATTTTTTTATTTAAAAAGGAGACAGAGAGCTAAAACTTACATTAAGATTCTTTATTTTTTCCCTCCAGGCAATGAATACGCTGCTCTTTATGAACGCACTCAAGAAACACCTAAAGAAGCTGGACACTATACCGATGTTCCTCATGTTTTACTACCATTTTATGTTAAACTACCATCCAATTGGTTGTTGTTTTTTGCTTTTTTTAAATATAAAGACATAGTTTTACAGCCTCTAATTTCTAATATTTTAAAGACAGAGGTGTTGATTATGCTGCTCTTTTTTCTGGAATAACCACTTTTAAAGGATTGAAAAATTAGTACTCTTGTTCACTGTGATATCTCTTGGAGATGCACTGAAATTTATTTGAAATTGGACCTTGTTTGTTCTTGATGTATATTTGCACATGATCTTGATTTTGTGCTTACTCACTTGCACTTTGTGTCACTTGTGTGTATAAAATCTCTGCAGCTCTCCATGCCAGGTCACACTTTATTTGATTTTTTTTTCTCAAACTTATTTTTCTCGAATAGATATTTACCTGAAGGTCTACAAAAAGCTAATAATACAGAGTGTGACAAAGCTCAAATAATCTCAAACAGCTTTTTTGACATTGAGATCACTCAAATGGCCTGCACAGCCACCAGATCCGTCACAGCCACCAGATCAGTCACCCTTTGGGATATTCTGGGACAGGAAATTCCCATTGTGAATATGCATTTGAGAAATCTGGAGCAACTTTGAACCAAAAAGGAGGGGCCAACCTGGAACTATGTAGCAAAGGAGTTAGCACTGGCCACCTAGCAAAGTGGCCACTAAATCTATAGAAAACTGACTGTCTTCCTCTTATCTCTGTACACACATGTAAAATCCCACACCACCTTTTACAAATCCTTTTCCTGGACTTGGAACAGAATTCCTTTTTTGTGGAATATTAGACAGAGGGACCTAAAATTGTTACAACTTGTTGAAAGGATCAAGAAAACAGTAGTAGTAGTAAAAGGTGACATCTTATGAAGCTCCACTGAAATTCACATGAAGCCTGAGCTTTTTGTTCTTAATATGTCATTACGTACGATATGGATGTCGTGGGGCCTGTGTGTCACGTGTGGTTAATGTAGGGTCCTATTATTACAGGGCCTTTACGTTACAAAGCACCTTAAGGGGGGCTGTTGTCATGATTTGGCACTACAGAAATAAAACTGAAGTAGTTGTGCTATTTATTTTATATAAAATAAAATAATTATTTTATATAAAATAAATAGGGCAGCTATATAATATAATATATATTTTCCAGCTGCTTCAATTGTTGTTGATTTGACTTATCAGAAAATGTCTGTGTGAACTCCATAATAGAGTTTTCCAGATCGAAAAGTAAAAGTACGTGCTTGGAAACAGTCAAGGATAAAACTGAGAGGAAAACCATTATTAGCAAAAACTCCAGTTGTCTCCATCCGTGTACAACTTCAGCCAAAACAGGAGGAGAAATGATTTCACTATACTGGCCAGTTGGGTCTTTGTGAAGAGTGAACAAAGTGAGGCCAGTGTAGGACAGAAGCTAGCGCAAAGACACAGCCAGTATTCATATAGTGTAATGGCCACGAAGGGCAGCCAATTCAGTCATTCCAAAGGCTGGAGTTAGCTGACTTTCTCTTTGTCACTCTCTTTATCATTTCACACTGCTGCCCTCCTACTCTGCCCAGCTGCCCCTCTGGCCTCCATCTTTTTTTTGTCTGTATGAGTCATGAGAGTCACTGGCCTTGGGAAAAACAGAGGACAGGGGAAGACAAAGAGAGTGGGAGGAAGTGTGTCTCATTTATTTTACCCCCTTCTTACAGTATCCACAGCCACGGTGTCATGAAATTGAATTTGTACTGGACCAGTGTATTTTGGTAACAGAGAGTGAAAAAGGTATTTTCATAATCGTGCATTGAAGCAGGTAGACATTATTTGACATGCAATGCTCCTTCAGTCTCCATGCAAAAACACTGACACTAGCATTTGAAGATGTCTGTGCATGTCTCGTTAGAGCTTTGGGTGGTTCCACTCAGCTTCCAGTGGGCATTACCCAAAGCTCATTAATGGAAATGAGGTCTGTAACATGAGTCAAGTGGTAGAAAAGTTAAAGCCACAAGTCCTAGTGTGAGTCAAGTCCAAAGCCAACCACATGTGATTTTATATGGGAGAGACATGGCACTAAAAAGAATCCTGAATAGAAATATCTGAATAAATCTTGTACCTACTACTCCCTCCAAAGGGCCAACCGTCTGCTTTATAATAGCTGAAACAGAACAGACAGAAGTGATTCCAAAATCTATACAAGTTTTTTTTTCTTGGCTTACTGCATCCATAATGTAAATTAGTCTCGTATTTGTTCAAATGCCCTTGCGGGATCAACCAGATATGTTGATTCTGTTGGCACACTGGATTGAAGTGGAATTTAACTCTTGAAGGTGCTGTAGAAAACTTTATAAAACTTAAATATCATGAGGCAAAGTCACCTTTTTTTTATTAGATTTTTCTGGTTATTTATGCAGCTTTTTATTAACGTTGCGGCCGTCTCCTTATTCATTTAGAGAGGGGCTTAGTGTTAGCCTGAATAAACTCCCAGGTGCTGTTACGAAGATGCCTGCCAAGGAGTGAAACTTGCTTCTAAAAGAATGATGGATATTTTATCTGAAGATGTTCTCAAAACTTAGCTTCATCAGAACCACACTGATAAGCATCGTGGTCACTTAATCTATACTATGAAGCCACATATTAAGTTACTTGGATTAAGTTATCATTAACACGGAAGGACAAACATTAGGGTCTCTTTCACAACCGATAAACATCAAACCTTGCTCTGCCAAAACGCTTACTGACTATCATTTATCAGCTGGCTGTACTTAGCTGTTCATTGCTCAAGGATCTAATATGATTTTCTGGTACTAACAGATTGTGTTGTTTGCAGAGTTTGGCTGCTATGCGGTATCAGAATGGCTGCAGAAGTGGAAAGTAAAGTATTGGAACAGAGAAAAATTCAAAAGGTTTACCTGGTGAGCGTGTGTTGGCCCGCGTAAGCGAGCGTTCTCTCGACTTGTAGGGGTATCTCAGTGTGGTATCTAACAACTTGAAGCTTTCTTTCAGCGAATGAGACTGATAGTACTCCACAAGCTCCTGTAAAGTAACAGGATACAAAAAGGTGAACTTTTCTGCTTTCACATTGACAACAAGCTCCTATGGGTGTTTCTGTGTTGGCAGTTCAATATATGACCTTTTTTCTTTTTTTTAAACAGTTTAATATGACTTACCAACAGACTTTCAAACTTCTTTGCCTCGGTGATGTGTATCCAGCTGTCTTTTTCAATGACTTTGATGTGCTTTACTTCATCGTTGAATCTGTAAAGAGAAATCACCAAGAACAGATGTTGTTTTTCCACTGTTATCGATTTTCTTTATCCATATCTTGCATATTACTGTTGAGCCTGTATTCTCCTGTGCCCTTAACTTAATGTGTTCTGCTGCTCCACACATTTCTTTTTCAGTATATCTGATTGAATAAGATGGAAATTAAGTATTTTTTCTTAAAGTTAAGACTTCTTAACAGATTTGTTTACTTAATTATATCGAGCCTGGTCCCCACAGTCACTCATCACCTGAGTTAGACACAAATGTGTAAATGTGCATTCCCTTTCTCAACCCATCATTATATGACAACTCCAGTAGAGAACTCATGGATTTTTTTTTCCTCTTGAGAATGCATCGTCTCATTGAAAAGGCAAAAAAAAAGGAAGGATAAAAAAAAAAAAAAAAAAAGCAATTACTGAGTAGTAATTAGCTAGAGCTAAAAGATGCACAGAAAAAGCTGACTAGGGCTCCCTGTGAGAATATTTATTCCCCATGAGATATGGATAAAAACCTTCCCTTGACATTTTCCTCTCCTGTAAGATCTGAAATACTCACTTGATGCTGATGGCGAACCTCTCCGCCTCAGCTGTCCTCTCTCTGATAAGGTAGGTCCCACTGCAGTGGGATTTTAAAAGGTTGTCTGCCTGCTGCCGCTCCATGTTTCCTGCAAACCTACAGAAAAAACTAAATTTAGAGGTCACTGTTTTTTTTTGTTTTAAGTTGTTTCATCAAATGACACTCTAAAAGCTTTAAAAACACTTATCTTCAATCACCCATGTAGTAATTAATCTTTTGGTTAGGGTCAGCTTGCTTTCAATTGAACCACTGCTTTGAGATAACGCTACAGTTTAACATTAACAGATCTGCACTAATTACAGGATATTGACCTTGGGCTAATGGTACCTTATAGTGCACAGGCCCATTAAATGCACAGTTATGGGTCTTACCAAGGATATCCATAGTAGTCTGCATCCCTTGAGGACGACCGGCATGACTGGAAGGGCTGTCGCACATAACAGACACCGTTCATTAAAGAACACAGCACAGGACTAACTGACATGCACATGCATAAACTCGTCCACTCTCAAATCATACACGCTGTAATCAGTCACAACCCACTTTACAGGTGTATGGGTGCATTACCTTTGGGTCCAAACAAGGCTTTACATAGGAACTGGGGAAAAAGCCGCTCTTTTGTGTCTGTATCAGCTTTCCCTGTAAGACAAACACAAGGTAAGTTTATTTCTAGATGTGAAACAAAACTGTGCTTACTTCAGGCAAAGAAATACTTTAGAACATCTGTGGGGAAAAGGGAAAATGGGTAATATGTAGTTTAGTGTAGATACAGAAAATTTGGAAATCCTAAGACACACACTGAAAAATTTGTAGGGTTTATAGAGGAAAAACTAAAACTAAGAACTATATTTCCTCCTTGCAAGTAATCATTGTTAAGTAAGACTATATTAATAAACCAATATCTGAAGCAGAGATTCTTTAGTTTATTGTGTATAATGTGAAACAGTGTTACGTTGGTGCCTCCTAGTGGTGCCAGTTTATCTGCACTGGATTCGTTTTGTCAAAATTTAAAGTAAAACATTTCTGAAAGACAATGTATTCACTTGGAGCTAAATAAATATTACACGCTATGCATCATATTTTCGGTGCTAGATGTTGTATGTACAAACTTTCCCCATCAAAGTCAGACAGAGGATGAAATGACTCCATCTTATGCCTGCAGCAATCGATTTTAAACTCTGCACACCTGCTGACATCACACTGAGAGATTAAACTGCCATGCTGTAGAGGGATAGCCTACTGTTATAGCTAAGATCAATTAATGTCATCAGAAAGTTGCCCAGAGTCACTTCAGGAAAAGCCAGCCTGATATTAGAGTCGGTGATTCAGCAGGAATGCCAACAGTTCCTGGAGCAAACAGTGTCACAGTTCCTATCATCCAGACTAATTCACTGCAGAGGATCCTCCAGGTCTGCACGTACACCTCTTCTAATGTTCAGCTAAAAGTGATTTATTTCCATTGGTGAAGGTGCAAAGAAGTCTTTAACTTCCTCTAAGATTTTAGAACAATTTTAGGCAAGCGTGGCTCAGTTTATCATTCAAACACTCTTTAAAGTATCCTGTGGTATTTTAGTGAGACGCACAAGCCAAAGCGCTATTAATTTAAACTGACAAGGTGACAAGGGGACTCTGTTTACAAGATGTGCGCTGGAATATGATGATGATTTGCAACTACAAGAAAAATTATCTTTTTTTGTAGCATGGGGGGAAAGAAAGCACTTAGGGATTTGCCTACTCCACAGCAATTTGAATTAAAGGCATTTTGGGGTATGTTACTGTACTTGTTCACCACCAGAGGGATAAGATTGATAGTGCTTTCTGCAGCCTGGTTAGAAAACATGAAAAGAAATGACGGAAATGGCTCCAAAGGCAACAAAACGCTCAGTAATGAACACATATATCTTGTTTGTTCAATCAATACAAAAAAAACAGTGTGTGTAAAAACTAATCTACAGTTTTACAGGAGGTTGTGTGCTTAGACTTTAGCTTTGCTGATTATAAGACTCCACCAAAGTCATTGCAATTGTCCAATAAAACAAGGTTTTTGTCCAGATCTAATAATAGCGATCCTATATGCTAACTATTTCAATCTAGAAGTGCCGGTATTTGAACAGAGACAGAACCTTGACTTATGTTCTACACTTTCTATCTCACAGGTAAAAAAAAAATTGAATTTAACATGAGAATCACTGATTCATTTCAAATCCACTATGTGAGGTGCTGTGCCAACATCAGCTGTCTGCGTAACAAGCTGCGTGTGTCAAAGTGAGGGATGGATTGATTTAAAAATGATTGACTACTCTACCTCCCACCATGTGATATCCGGGTCTCCCTTCAGAAGCTCGATAAAATCTCCTGTTTGGAAACAGAGAGGGGTCTTCCCCGGAGGCACCGGTGTGCCATGGTAGTTCTTCACTGCCACCATCTTAGGACCTGCAATAACAGTCAGTGTCCAGTACATTACCGCTTCCAGCTTCTCACTAATAAAAAAGTCCACTGACATTGAGAAAACAAAAGCTGTAGAAGAGTTGTGAAAGAAACGATCAGATTCTGCAAGTGTGTCTCTACTGTACTTCTGCATACTCTACTAATGCATTTATATTGTGAAAAGGTTACTTTTTTGTAATATAATAGAGAAAGGTAAACTTTTACATATTATATTTTCATTAGCTGGATTGGAGTATTGATGCTTATTGACAGACTTATTGGCATATTTAATTTTGGGTTTGCATTAGTTACTATTCAAACTATATAAATAATGTGTATCTCTCGTTCTACTTCGGTACATGCAACCACAGTCACAGGCAAGACTCCTAGCTTGACAGTTGTCCAAATGATAGTCGACTCCCTCCACGAGGACGTAACACCACACAAGGTCATTGCAAAAAAGCCTGGCTGTTCAGTGCTGTATCAAAGCATATCAATGAAAAGATGAACCGGCCGGGAAGAGTGCCTTCACAAGAGTGTCAAGTCCACTCAAGAAGAGCTTCACAACAAGTGGACCGAGGCTGGAGTCAGAACATCAAAAGCCACCACACGTAGACCTCTTCAGGATCAAAGCTACAACTGTTAAATTCCTAAAATCATGCCACTCCTGAAACAATGGAAAACATCAGATGCATCTTACAAGTACCTGGTTTAAAGAGAAAAAGAAGTGGACTGTTGCTCAGTGGTCCAGGTTTTCTTTTGATTTCAATTAGAATCAAGGTTCTAGAGTTTGGGTGAAGGATGGAGAGGCACAAAATCAAAAGTGTTTGTGGAAACCTCATGCTAGAATTCAATCTTTGATTATTTAGGGTGCCATGCCATCTGCTGGTGTTGATGGTTGCTGCTCTACTCTGTACTATCACGTAAAAATTCAATGCAACCACCTACTAGAGCGCTTCAGGTTTCCACCTGACAAAAAGTATGGAGCATATTTCCTTTTTCACCAGGAACCAGGAACTCCCACCGCGCCAAAGCTAGTATTTATTGGTTTGCTGACTGTGATAATGCTGGGTTTGACTACCCAGGCAACTGACGTGACCTGAAACCCCACAGAGAATCTCATCTTCCTCAATCAACAAACTGAGGAAGATGAGACACCTGAAGCCAACTATTAAAGGAATCTGGGCTTCCCTAACAGCTAAGCAGTGACACAACCTGATCACCACCAGACTACGCCAGACTGATGTAGCAATTCATGGTAAAAAAGCCTCAACCAAGTGCTACCTTAACAGAAATTGTTCATTTCTGTATTATACGTAGTTTTTTTGATTGATCACAAATAATTTAATAATTTCAGATGCTGGAATTCTGATAATTTTTTAAAGCCACAAAAAAATCTGTATTAAACTATAATCTAGCTCGAAATAGTTCACTTGTGATGTGAACATGTGATGATACAGAATACATTAAAGTTTACCTTTTTAAATCTAATTATAGGAAAACAAAATAAAACCTTTTCACAATATTCAAATTTTTTTAGAGGGATTCGTATAGGGTTAGTATTGTTGCTGCAATGGCGCTATCCACTAGATGGCAATAGAGAGCCGTGCTATTTAAGCGCAGCTACAGCCAAAACAAAGTTGACAGCTGACAGAATATTCAAATGTTAGCTCTTACCAGGTGATAATCCAGGCTCCTACACAACAGAGACAAATATCTGATTATTGATATTGTTAATAAGTAAGCAAAAAACATCACCTTTTATCCTTTTGTGGTAATTATTCAACAAAGAAAGATGGTGACAATTAGAGAAAGCTGTTGTATATTGAGTGAAAAAGAAACTACTCACCAAGTCAAGAGGATCTGAAAAGAGGAAATATTGAAGATTGTCAAAGAAGATTCACAAGAAAATATTTCACCAAGTGGATCCATCAGCACTTGACATCAGCATGCCAAAATGTACAGCATAGCTTCATGCAGACCATTTTTTTAAGCTGACTAACAGCAATGTAGTATGACTGGTTTCCTGTGAGCGTTAAACAGCAGATAAAACTGAAAGCATCAAACTATATTGTTACAGTCCTGCTCTGTGGTCCTTATTATACACACACTAACTTATTTTAAGAATTCATTTGATTAATTATGACCTTCGACTATCAAAGAACTTGATTGGTTCATACTGAACCTCACTCAGCAGTTATTAAATTGGCTCAAATTTGAGAAAATAGGCCACAATGATTTTCTGAATTCATGTTGAGTAAATATGTTGTCAGATACTGCTGCTAAATCCACTGACACAATAAAAAAGCCTGCCTCCCTTTTACTGCTGCATAAAGAGGCCTACAAGCAGGACAGGGGTCATCAAATTACAGCAGTCATCATTGCATGTCCGTGACATATGTCAGTTTTTATTTATCTATTTTTATCATTTGCTCACTACTTGACCCTCACAAAGTCATCTAAATAACATCTTCTACTAAAGAGGAAATACCTACTTATTTTACAAATGGTGATCACTTCTAGACACTCTTTGTGAGCTCCTGTTCCACAGCGAGAGCAGTAGTAGCCCTGATAGAAGATGCCCCTTGAGGACAGGCGCACACACACACACACACACACACACACACACACACACACACACACACACACACACACACACAGAGAGAAACATGCACTTTAGTAATGCAAACAGGAAGTGGCTGAGACACAAATTAACCTCCTGTAAAAACAACACACAAGGGGACCTGCTGCTTGTTCCTATAATTGTTCCAACTGCGAATCCACATCCTCCATCATTCCCGTTCTGTAATTCTTTAAAAATCACCAAATCAACTGGCTCAGTTTAAACCGTGTACTCCTGAAGTTTATTTGTTACGGGTACTGTAACACTGCATGCATCGCACGCTGCCAAGTTGAATAGTAAGTGCCATAAATCACGATGGGATCCGCTGGGACTGCAGCAGTAATTAGCATCTAGCAGGAAGAGAGAACGCTGGTCCCTGCTGCCATCGGCTCTGTGAATTTAGGTCAGCAAAGCCATGCAATTTGTGGGTCAATACACAGAGTGGGGTTTAGCCGGCTGACTCTAATAGAGGTGAAAGTGGTGATTCAGTGACACGGGCTATCCCACTGCAGACGAGCAGCATTCTCACATGAGAGAAGGTGTACTCAGGAACACTGTGGGTGGTGCGGGGCCGGGAAATGTTTAAAAATAACATCCGTCAGCCGCAGTCACACTTACTAGAATATTTTCCAAGGAATGCTTTCACACTAATGACGGGTTATGCGAGCCAAAAACATATTCCCTCTGTGATTTAAGTCTGTTTGTTTGTTCACTACCAAATGCTACTTAAATTATTTATTTTTATATTTGTACTGCTGTAGTGTATACTCCACTCCAAGGGTATTTTTTTTCTCCTCTGTTTGTGGTGTCAAAATTACAAAAATTGTGTTGTTGTCCAAATACTTACCTAACTGTAATAACTTTTGTGTGCTTTTATGAAAAAGTGAAGCCAACGTGGGAGTAGTTGCAAAAGGTCTCCTGGCAGCAGTGCTTCTTTGCCAAAAAGACCATCAGCTCCCTGGTTTTGTGTTCTCAGTAAACACTTCCCTGATCATTTTATTGGGCTCAGTTGCTATTTTCATGACACTCTGAATAAAACATTAAGTCTATTTTGTAAATTATAAGTCAGGGAATCAGAGAGGAGGATTATCCAGGATGCTCGTTGGTTAACAAACTGTCAATCACAAGTGATTAGCCACAGAATGTCCTCTGTTTCTGCTCATCTGCTGACACATGTGGTTTCAAAACACCAAGATGGTGACAGTGAAAACATTGAACTTCCTTTTTTGTGCATCATAATTTATTAATAATTCTACCGTTGCATATTTTGGACATACAGTGTCTCTGCTTCATAAAGTTTATCTGGATAAGTAACACATAAAAATGCTGTTGCTACCAAATGCTGACATAACAGTCACTAGAGAGTCTGGAATAAGGATGTATTCGGTGTGCATTATTAATGGCACTAGAGATACCAGCGCTGGGGTTGTCAGGGTCATTACCTCAAGAGCATCTTGCAGGCTCGACAGTTGGTATTCTTATCAAATGTGTGCATTTCAAAGTTGTGCTGATTAGCTGTGGCTCTCTCTGGCTTGATGTTGGACCTAGATAAGTAAATAATATGGAATTAAATAAACCAGTTAAACTGAGGATACCTAGGATTCTTTATTTTTTCCCATGCTACTGAAAAATAACATGGCAAAGACAATTAGTCTCACATAAAATACATTTTATCCAACTAGTCATACTCACATGGCCATATCAAATTGCTCCATCCACTTCCTCTTTGTTTCCTCAGTTTTGCAAAAGAACTGGAAGCCCTGCTTCCCTTGCAGATGGATCAGGTAGAAACCATAAGACCACTGGTGAGAAAAAGTGAGTGTTGAACAGATGGCAGAAAAAGGTTTGTGGATGGCAGACCGAGATAAGAAATAGGCATGTGATATCAGCAGTTCCAACAAATATATGGTCAAATCAAGTCAGACCTAAAAGATCATCAACATGCTTTAGCAATTAATTGGATAAGACGCTGGTCACAGACTCAGACTGTGCATATGCAATCAAGGTATTACATCCCAAAAATCACCACAGCCAAAACAAAAACAAAAACAAAAAAAAGCCACTATGAGAAGATGTGTTAAATAAGGGGATCATTTGAGCTTACCATTTTTCCACAGGACTGGTAAGCATGCAAAAAGAAAGACACCAGAGAAAGACCCAGTTACACATGCAAACATGTATGCACGCATGCAGATCCAAAAACAAAAAAGCCATGTTAGACCGGATGCCCAGTGCACTGCAGTACGTTTTCATGAATCCTAAATGATCTTCATTGCATTTACATGATTTTACAAGCACGAATGAACACAATGCACGTTTGACACAACAGTGTATAACCCCATCTGAAATCACATCAGAAATTACCATCAACAAGCTCCTTCAGCTCAAGGGCAACATTTGTAATGATTACACATGCCGCTTCATCGCCTACACCGGCCGGGCCACCTTTACAAAGATCTCACTGACGAAATTGCTCTGTCTCATTTCAAACCGTGATGTTCTTACCTTTTTCATGTCTCTGTTGTTCGTCGGGTCATCCGACATTTTATGATTTTGCAGCTCAATAATCTCTTTGAGCTCATAGCTATAGCCTTTCCTCTTGCAGACAATGACCACTTTATCAAAGAGGAATATATACCTGAAGACAATCATACATTTTTATTGAATATTGGCAGCGATAAAATGTTGCTAAAGGTTATTATAGTTTAGTTTTACTATAGAACTTGGACTCACCGGTCCTGTTTTGTTCGGTTCATAGAGGAGCACACCTTCAGTTCTCCATCTATCTTTGGCCTCCCGTACTCCTCCAGCTTCACCTGCTGCTTAGGTTGCAAAAAACAAACAAACAAACAAACAAACATAAAAAGCAGCCTACTAAACCAATGGATTCTGCAATTTTTAATAAATAATTTTGCTAGACTTTTAATTTCAGAGAGAATTAATATCCACGATAAACGATGATTCTCCATCCTCCCTTTGACTTTTTTCCAAAGTCATACCCAGTGGCTACATGTATAAATTATTCAGAGCACTTTTACTGTACGTATTACTGTATATGTGGCACATGTACAAACCAAAGCTGAATACTGACTTGGCATATCAGCAAGGAACAACAAAAGAAGTTGTGATAGAGAGATAGAAAAACGAGAAAAAAGGTTGGTGCTACACAAAATATTAAAGTGAGCAGTTTGCAGTTTACATAAATGAGTTATTAAGGGAATTATCATGGCTGAGGATCATGGAAGCACTTTGAAAGATAGAGGTGTTCTGAGGAGAGACTAATCATTCTGTCGAACTTCAAAAACACCTGTTGATAACATGCCAGTGTGTTGGCATGTATATATTAAAGAACAACCTTTAAAATGTTCTTAGCTGCTCAAAAGATAACAAGTGCAAGGAAAGTGTGGAGTACTTACAAGATTTTCTATTGAACTTTGGAATTCGCTGATTTTTTTCAGTGTCTCATTGTCTCTCTTGACTTCATTGATGTACATGGCCAGGTCCTGGAAGAGCCAGACATTCTTTCAGGCATCTGCTATTTCAAGCTGTATTTACAACACTTGAGCAACACAGTGACTGTATGTAATTATGTAGCTTTAGCTAAGAGGGTGATTCTGCAAGATTTTTAAACACACACCTGCATAGCCTCCAGAGCCTCCTTCAGTTGTTGTCTCTCGGGTCGGTCAGTTGAGTGACTCAAAAGTTCCTACGGAGAGATTATTTTGTTAGAAAAATGTTCTTGTACTTTGAGAAACTGTAAAAACCAAACTCCAATGGTGTGTCTGTTTTTCTTGGCAAAATTTGACAACTGCACACTGCAGATCTGAAATCATTAACAACACATTAAAAAGTACACTTTAAAACTTGAGTGCAAGCAGAGAGAGCAACCAGCCAAGTTCAGCTTGTTTTTTGCTTTACTAGCCCCTCCCCCTCCCCCTCCCCCCGCCCCAGATTTCTGTTTTGTTTTGTTTTTAATGCAAAGAACTAAGATAATAATGTACACAATTAGACTGCATTGCAATTTTGTTTTAGAGCTGCTTTCGAGCTGTGTACAATACAGTCTTATGACTGGTTCAGATTTTGAATTCTGTCTGATTATTATCTAAAAAAAATAATCAAAACTAAGCCTGAGGCAGTAAAGTTTCTGCCAAATGCATTTTTCTGCATCTAACATCAACAATTTTAACTTGCCTTTCTGGCCAGTATTACTCCAGTTTAACAAGTTACTTTGTTTCTTTGGTGTCTTTAAGTTAATCAAATGTGAAAGGTAAATATGCAAATTTTCTTGCTTGCACTTAGGGGTAAAGATTTGCCTGTGGTTTGGTAGGCTGGTCAGCATATATGCTGGTTAGCTTGATAAAGTAGAGATTGGTCAAAGTTATGTTGTAAAACAACCTGCTACTCATAAAGGGGTTTACTGTTCAGGTGCTAGGAAATAACACCGTATTTAATAGTGACTTCCACATTAATGCCAGCAGAGCTTGATGACCTCTGAACACTAATCATTCGATCATGTATTGCTAAATGTTTGTGTAATTTTTTCCCAAAAGTTTACTGAATTTTAAACAAAAATATGATGACGTGAAGACTGCAGCGACACTTAAAGTATTAGGAAACAACTTTATTATGTGACCAACTGGTTCTGGCTGATTGGTTAATTGGGTAAGCCACAGCCCAAACAGGTTCTGGACTGAATCAGTACAGATTAATCGTTTTGAGTAATTCAATCTCACAATTACACAGAAAAATGCCAATAGTAAATATAAAAATAAAGTAAGTACAGGAACTTTTTAAACAAAAACACAAATATGAGTATGGCAATCTGTGCAATACCAGTTGGAGAAGGGAAACCCAGAAAGATTCAGCGTTTATTAATGGCATGGCAACTTGCCTTTACAGCAGCCCTTGTTACTGCTCCATAACCCAGTGTGAAACAAGGCAGTCAGTTAGTTTTCATATTTAAAATTTTTTTTTAAGTTTCTGTTTATTTCATTAAGCACTACAGTGATGTTTTCATGGTAGATTTCACTGCTGGCAGGTACCAGCATGGAGTTAAAAAGAAGTAAACCATCTCTGTTTGAAGTTAGCAGTATGAAGAGACATTAGCTGCTAGCTGCATAACCAACAATAATTTCCAAACTATCAGCAACTGCTAGGATTGCTTAATGTGCATGTGAGGTTGTGGGAAAATAAAAGAATAAAACACTGTAAGCATAAGGTGAAAAACAAGTCCAGATGTAAATTAGGAAATAACCATAGTACTTCATTTAACTCATACTAACATACCCATAACATAACCATGGATCATTCGTCTGATATTTTGAAGCTATTATGCTATTACACGGACGAGATCCCCTGTTTTTAGGTCTTCCAATTTCAAACTAATAATGAGCTTCAATATACGGGGCATTTTCCTCACTGGCTTTTCATGCCTACTTCAAATATTATCAGCAAGTGCTTGACAAACAAAACCAAGAAAAAAGTGCTTTCATCTGGGCTCCACCTGTAACTTGTATTATCTAAGTAACCTTCTGCTCCTTTAAAGAAAGAGGTGCATTACATTTGCAAAAGAAAAACAGTTGTACTGCAAAACATATACAGCAAAATGTATAGCACAAGATCATGTTTTAAGTTTTCTGAGAATTGTTGAATTTGCTCCATGAAGTTCAACTATCATAAAAGAATGAAGAAAAGACCCATGCACAGTATCATCAAATAGGGTTCACACTCTTGAGATGATATCTATATAACAACAACTGTAGATGTACCCTTCAGCAGGACTGAACACGCACATACCCAAACCAAAACAAGCCTTGTCAGTCTGACATGCCCTGAGGCCTCAGTGTGCAGCAGTGTTTTACTGCAAAGCTGCAGGAAGCAGTGAAATGGGGTGTATTTAATCTGATTATTGCACGGTTGATTTGACCTCAGTGGTTCAGTGCCACTCCTGCAGTGGTTCGATTCAAACTAATACAGATGCCATGGCGCTCTCTGTGTGGACCTACAATCATAGCACCTGACATTTTTGAATTAAAGGACACAGAAAACTCAACATAAACAATTAGTGAATAATGTGCAAAGGCAGACACATCAATGAGGTGTATTAAGTTAAAGTCCACAAAGCAATATGTGCTGCCTCAGTGACACTTCAAACAACAGCTTTTTAAAAGGGCAGAAAAGAGTTTGTAAAATAGGTTAATGTGACAAGGGTACAAGTCTGGAAAATCACAACAACACTGACCAAATCCAGACAGCTGACATTGCCATTAGACACGGAATAAAAGAGAGAGGTGTTATGCATCATTTGAAATCAGAGCAGAGATGAACCATAGCCTCCCTGACGAAGTCTCAAGAAGAAAATCTTACAGTGAGGATCTGCTTTTCGGGATGGAAAGCTATTAACTTTCTGAAATATATACAGCACAAATCCTTGAACTCTGAGTGTCAAAAATGTCACATACAAAGTTCTTTGAAGTGGGTGCAGCATATACTGGATTTCAAGGATTTAGCAGCGTCTGAAGCACGTGCTGATGAGTGGTGATTTGACTTCGAGTTAGACTGTGATGCCAGATTTGGTCAAATCAAAAGAAACCTGCGTATTCCTTATTTAGCTTAGCTTAAGTGTAGAGTCAATTGCGCCGAGAGTGAAAGAAACAACATGTTTACTGAAATCAGAAAACACCTTTTTCATGTCTCTGTTGTTCGTCAGGTCATCTGACATTTTATGATTTCTTATAGAAGAGACGCATCATTTCCCTGCAGAAGACGGGGTTTTTGCACCTCAAACTATATCTGAAAGTTAGCAACATACACTAGCTGTGCCACAGAGACATAGCAGCACAGATGTTTGAGATAAACTTTTGAAAGGTAAGAAGTTAAAAATAAAGCACGTGTGTATGATATCACACGGCTATTTAGCCAAAATCTTAATTACATTTGAATGAAACTGTGTAAACACATAAACAGGTTTTACAGATTTGGATTTTACCTTTAGTAGGAGGTGATACTTCAGCACCCTCTGCATGGGAACTACCAAAAGATCTTGGAGCTTGAACTTTCCTTCTTGCACTTTCATTGTACATTCCTGTGGAAGAGTGACACAAGCAGTGGCACAGTTATTACATGTTGCATAATACAGCATTGTAGATTTCCTACAAACAAGTATTCATTTGTTGTTTAAGAATACACTGTTGTGTTGCTGCTGTTGCTTCCACACATTCACAGGGCACTCCTTTAGCAATGAGGCCGGTTTATTCTTTCAGGGCACAAAAACTCTGGTTGTGCCAGCTATTTGTGACACAATTACGCAGCATACTGAGAGAGGACATCCTCTGACAAATGAGTGCATATCCCTAAATTCTCTCTTGGCTCCATAAGAAGCGCTCTTTTGTTAGTATTATCCTATAAGGTTCCCTCACAGTGGTGTCTGTGTACATCTTTGTTCACTCGGTTTCTTTAAATGTGCAATATCAGCAAAGCTTATCCTGTTTTACAAACAGTACTTTTCTATACTGAGCCAATAACAGGCTGACTTAGCCTTTTACAAAGCTCCTTTATTTTGAATGGGGTATCTCAGTTACTACTACCCTCTGTAGCTATATGTATTGCCTTTTGTGCTCATCAGCTCTAGGGCCCACTTGTCCTCCCATTCTAACTGCAAATGTGCTTTAATCCCGCTCTACCCTGCATTCCTTTTCTAAGGATTTTCAGTCTGTATAACATCACAAAATCATAGCAGCATACTGAGGGGAGATCTTGTTGTATACATAGATTCTAAAAATGTCCCAGATTTACACAGTAAAGGTTCCTTTTCTCTTGTTTCATCTTTTCCTGTGCACAAGGAAATTTAACAATACAACCAAGATCCACCACAACCCCTGTTTGGTTAATATTCCGTTTTGTTCAGTATAACAAAATGTTCTGAATTTTTTAAGGCTCTAGGGGCAAATATGCAAATTACATCTGACTTCATTATAGGTTCTGCCTAACAAAGGCAAAGCTTGGCCCCACTGATGAATTTATTTAAGTCATTATTTAGTCATTGTCATTGTTTATTCAACAGTAAATTTTACTTTTGATTTGCGCTTTGATTGAAACGGCCATATTCTAAAGCAGCTTATTTTGTTGGTACAACTCTTCAGAGCATGTACTGCAAGTCTGGATTGATATAAAATTTTAGATTTGAGTATACTTTCTAAAAGAAATACTGCATCACTTTGTCCTTTTTCTGTAGTTGGCACACAATGAATTTGGTAGTAATGCAATACACCGAAATATGTTTCTCTTCTCCTGTGGTGTTTGCACATGGTGCATGGGCAAAACACTAGCTTGAATGCCATATCAAAACAGGTGGACAAATATCCAGCTGCTGTAATATAATAATGTATCTCCACACACTAGTGCCAGGAGTCAGCAGGAACATTTAACAATTTGTAAATATAATTTTGCTGGCTATCACACTCTGGAACCCGGTGAGCTTTTTTGACATGGTGCATTAACCTGTGGAAGCAGCCATTAGAAGACAGGCACATTGTGGTCATAAATGGATGGACATGATCAGCAAAAATACTCAGGTAGGCTGTGTTTTTTTTAAATGACACTCAATTGGTACTGTAAGGGGTCCAAAGTGTGCCAAGAAAATGTTCCCCACACCATTAGTCCACCACCACTAGCCTTAGCTGTTGGCACAAACAGGATAAATCCATGCCATCTTCTTTTTGAAGCGAAATTCTGATCCTGTCATTAAAGTGTCACAGCAGAAATCCAGACTCACCAGAGCGGCACATGATGTGGTCATCTGATTTAAGGTTGGTCACATTTTGGATTCAGAGAAGATGTTGCATACCTTGGTTGTAACATGCTTTTTTCAGTTACTGTTGCCTTATTATCAGCTAGAAAACAATCTGGCCATGATCTCTGCCCTCTGGCATGAAGAAGGTATGTTCACCCTGACAAATGCTACTCACCACATATTTTTACTTTTTTGTGTCATTGTCTGCAAACTTTGGAGATGGATGAGTGGTAAAATCCTAGCAGATCATCAGTTTTTAAAATACTCAGACCAGATAATTTGGTACAAATACAACACCTTCTGAGTACGACATTCATTTTAAACGTGTGTAGAGATGAATGTTACCTCTACTTTAATCCTGACATCTTCCCGTGTGGCTATTAGCTCGTCCAGTTTCTTCTGGGCATTCTCCATGTGGCTGCAGTACTGACCATAGATCAGCAACCTGGGGATGTGAAAAACTAATTAATCCAGTTACTCTGTTACAACTCATCCTCATTAAGGAATCCACAGAAGAAATATGAGGAGACTGTATAAAAATGTCTACAGCTGATACTCTCAAAAGAAATAGTACAAGGACACAAACATTTAAAAGTCCCAGAATAATCTTGAATACAACAAAAGCAACTTTTTGAAATGTTAGGCTTTCTTATTAAAGCTATTTTATTTTTAAGATCATGACTACATCCACTCACAAATGTCCCACTGTGCCCTTAGAAATGCTGGAGGTCCAAATAATAAAACATTAATGTTTTTAGGAGACTGTTGAGATTATAATTTGCATATTTTTGCTCGTCCTCGGTGAGGAAAAGAGCAAGTGGGCCCATAAACCTCCGTGTGGTGTTTGCAGTCTAAAAATAAGAATTAATAAGGACTAATAAGTCTTGTGTTAACATCTAAAATTACGAGATTTATAATATCTTTGTTAAAACACAGGTAAAACATGTCTACAATTAGCTGTAAAGTAGAATATTTTGGTAGTATATGGACCTTCAGGCAACATATTCATTTTAAGTTTATTAATATAATTTGGGAAGTCACGTTAAGAGTCATTTAACACTAATGGGTACAGATAAATGCATGTGTGAATAAATGTATTATAATTAATGAATTATAATTAAAAATATATTCACATCCAAGGGAAATATTTGAAGGGGTGGCATACTCTTGCCAATAAGCTATAATCATAGCGTACTAATGAAAGTCAGGGCTTTATATCAGTTGGTTTGCAGAGCTCCTCTTATCAGTGTGTGAGGGGAAAACAATCTTTTAATTTTGAGTAGTGAGGATATGAGAGCTGAGTTCATTAGATATTACAATGGGACACTGACATAGATCTACGGGTTCAGCTGGGAGGGAGTTCAAAGTCATCTTGCCTGGAGGATGCCACTGCACGTGGCAAACATTCTTTGCACTTACTCAGTCAAAGTAGGGCACTGGCACAGGCTGGTATAGTGCAACCCACCCCCACAGCTTGGTAGAGTTGGCACATAGGCCTCTTAATCTGAATCTTAAGCGAGCGAGGCGGTGTAGAGAGCTGGCACCCTGAAGTCTAATCAAGCCTCTGATAGCTTTGAATAACAGGCACTAAAAACAGACCATCCAGGGAACTTTGGTAATGATGCAATCAGGAAACAAAACTGGTTATGCATAGTGACACATATTATGCATTTATTTTATATTTAACTTAAGGTTAACCATTTCTATTCATGTATTTTAATCAATAAGGATACAAATCTTTGGAATGACAAGTCTGTTTAAATTGTCATTAATGGGTATTTCAAAAATTCTGCATGCAGTGTTCCCAAAACACAAACTTCAAATATTAGAGCAAAAGTCTCTTTTAAAATGATTAATTGCTCTCTTCCAGTGGCTCTAAAAAATTCATGGCTACAAAACTGTTTTTCAGTTATGCAACTTATGCCAGATGTGAAACACTGAACATCTTCACCTTAAAAGCAGCATTTCTGTCAAACCCATTCACCATGTGATTATCCTCTGCTCTGCAGAGATCAACAAGAGGTGATCACTGGAGTTTTAACTGGAGCTCAGACAGAGGTTTGAATAAGGCCCCCTCCTGCAGGCTCCAGCTATGGTTAAGCCCAGGGCTAACAAGCCCCTGATTAAGATGTGATCCACACTCTGGGAGACAGCTCTCCTCAGCTCTGGCTCCTCTTTGACGACACAGTGATTGAGATTAATGGTGGCCTTGATCAATTTTAAGACTGTGCGATATAGTGAGGACATAATGGTACGTGCCAGGTCACAAATCTTATAGTGAGCTATCAGCTCCTAATAGGACATGAAGGAGTTTGTAATAGCAGCATACGAAATGATGCGATTTAACTTCAGTATGGAAATTATAAGAAATGTTAAAAAAACTTGGTGAAGATGAACAAAATGAAGAACAATGGTGACTCTTTAAGTTATGCAGCAAGCAAATGTGGCTACACTGTCCTAAAGGCTAGAGCAGGGGTAGGCAACCTTTCTGATGGTGAGTGCCATTTAAATTTTCCTCAGAGGTCAGTGTGCCATATGATTGCATTAGCAATAAATTTAATAACGCTCTATATTAACACTTACACACTATATAGAACCACTTTATAGAATTATATTTGTTCGCAGATGTTGGCAGCTATCAGCGAATAGTTATCAGCTATTTTGAAACAAAAAAAAGACTTTTTATCCATAACAGCAAATGAACTGTACAACAGAAAATACAAATGCTATTTATGGTCTCCTCCCAAGAATGATAAGAAAAATAAACTGGGACAATATGGCATGTCTGTTAATACAGAGACACACATGTTAATGTGATCTCTGGTCTCCCACTCAGAGACACAGGTCTCCAGTGTCCAGCATTCAGACCTGAGGACACTCATGTGAGAGAAAATCTGCTCACACAGATATGTAGAGCCAAATACTGTCAATAAGGCCTCTGCAATGTTCTGAAGACAGTTAAACTTGTCAGGTAGTGATGTCCAGCAGGTGAAAATGCAAGCTCCATGAACACGCACAGCTGTGGATTCCAGCTGCTTCGATGTTGCATTAACTGGCATTAACTCAGCCAGTTAATGCGAGACAAATCCAGCTGCTCATTAAAGATTTCTGGTTTGATCAGAAAATAAAACATTGGTCCATACACCTGAAAGTCCCAAAAATGCATTGTGTCTCGAGTCTACGGATGTATCCGTGTATTTCCGTGGTGCTGATGCTGTGCTGAGCGAACAGCTCCTGAAGCTTTTGAAGTGTCGGAATGTGGAAAGCTAACAATGTCCCTCTCACCGGTAGGTGAGTTAGTTACTTTTAGCCAATTGAATCTGGTAGTTGGGGCTGTTAGCTAAGATACCGTCAACTAATGTGTCTATGCGAGCTGATTTGCACCGCTGGCCCGGCCATTAATTTTTTGATGCACCTTCTCAGATTAATTCACTGTGTGTCGTGCCCAGGGCTGGACTGGGACAAAAAAACAGCCCAGGCATTTTGACTAAAGACTGGCCCACCAGGTATTAAAGCCATAAAGCCTTTGAATGAAAACAAACGGTCTGTTGTATACAGGGAGTGCAGAATTATTAGGCAAATGAGTATTTTGTCCACATCATCCTCTTCATGCATGTTGTCTTACTCCAAGCTGTATAGGCTCGAAAGCCTACTACCAATTAAGCATATTAGGTGATGTGCATCTCTGTAATGAGAAGGGGTGTGGTCTAATGACATCAACACCCTATATCAGGTGTGCATAATTATTAGGCAACGTCCTTTCCTTTGGCAAAATGGGTCAAAAGAAGGACTTGACAGGCTCAGAAAAGTCAAAAATAGTGAGATATCTTGCAGAGGGATGCAGCAGTCTCAAAATTGCAAAGCTTCTGAAGCGTGATCATCGAACAATCAAGAGTTTCATTCAAAATAGTCAACAGGGTCGCAAGAAGCGTGTGGAAAAACCAAGGCGCAAAATAACTGCCCATGAACTGAGAAAAGTCAAGCGTGCAGCTGCCAAGATGCCACTTGCCACCAGTTTGGCCATATTTCAGAGCTGCAACATCACTGGAGTGCCCAAAAGCACAAGGTGTGCAATACTCAGAGACATGGCCAAGGTAAGAAAGGCTGAAAGACGACCACCACTGAACAAGACACACAAGCTGAAACGTCAAGACTGGGCCAAGAAATATCTCAAGACTGGTTTTTCTAAGGTTTTATGGACTGATGAAATGAGAGTGAGTCTTGATGGGCCAGATGGATGGGCCCGTGGCTGGATTGGTAAAGGGCAGAGAGCTCCAGTCCGACTCAGACGCCAGCAAGGTGGAGGTGGAGTACTGGTTTGGGCTGGTATCATCAAAGATGAGCTTGTGGGGCCTTTTCGGGTTGAGGATGGAGTCAAGCTCAACTCCCAGTCCTACTGCCAGTTTCTGGAAGACACCTTCTTCAAGCAGTGGTACAGGAAGAAGTCTGCATCCTTCAAGAAAACATGATTTCATGCAGGACAATGCTCCATCACACGCGTCCAAGTACTCCACAGCGTGGCTGGCAAGAAAGGGTATAAAAGAAGAAAAACTAATGACATGGCCACCTTGTTCACCTGATCTGAACCCCATTGAGAACCTGTGGTCCATCATCAAATGTGAGATTTACAAGGAGGGAAAACAGTACACCTCTCTGAACAGTGTCTGGGAGGCTGTGGTTGCTGCTGCACGCAATGTTGATGGTGAACAGATCAAAACACTGACAGAATCCATGGATGGCAGGCTTTTGAGTGTCCTTGCAAAGAAAGGTGGCTATATTGGTCGCTGATTTGTTTTTGTTTTGTTTTTGAATGTCAGAAATGTATATTTGTGAATGTGGAGATGTTATATTGGTTCACTGGTAAAAATAAATAATTGAAATGGGTAGGGGAGACCGGGGATAGTTGTAACGTGGGTCAGTTGTAACACTTCCAATTTCTCCAATCAGGGCTAAGTTTCAAATGATGTGACTCATCCTGTGCATGCCCAATTCAGTTCTGCTATCACATGTGAAAAATCAGCACATTTTGTCAAACACAGACAATTTAACACGAAAAAAAGTAATTTGTATGCCAAAAAGTAAGTTTTTCTACTTTATTTCAATTTCTAATAGCATTATCTGCTTTGCAGTTAAACTCATCAAACTTAAATTATGTTATTTGTATGTCTATGGGGATATATTCTGTGTAGGTCTTTAGTGCTAATGTTTTAGCCGTTGGCTGTAATGTTAGCTAGTTCATGGCTATAGGAGTCTGGGTCAGTTGTAACAGCAACAGTCTGGGTTAGTTGTAACAATAATGCAGATGTTACAACTTACCACACTATTACTTTAACTTATATTAAACAAGTTGGGGCAACGACATCAGCAGAGAGAGGTTCACTGGTCACATTTGTATATGCGGTTAATGCCATTGGCAACACAATTCCTCCACTGTTTGTGTTCCCA